TTGTCCAATCGACGGGGCGTGGACTGCTTCCGTCAATGGACAATTAGCCAAATTTTTGGAATCCTGCAAACGGAAAGTATTTGAAATTAACAACGAGTGTGGAGCATGGAGGTGAACAATGCCCGTCTATAAACACACGATCTGTCGATCATGGTCTCGTCGGTGGAGCCACAGAAGTGAAGTTCAAGGTGGGTTCTAGGGATGCAATCACCAATATTTATCCATCAATATCATTAAGGTATGTGATTTCTTTAACCTTTGGGACTTATTTCCCCAAAGGGTTTCATCAAATTGATTTCGAAGGTATGAAATTCAAGTGTGTCTTTTCCAATCTTGAAAATTGATCTTGTGAATTGCATATATGGATATTATTAATAGATTAACATGTATTTCAATTATGTTATTTTTGTATGGATTGGTCTAGTTTGTAGAAGATGACCTATTCCCCTTAACCATATGTTGTGATCTGTACATGAATTGTGTAATGTTGACACAATTGAATTGGTTATTGGTTGAATTACTACTAGAAGATGTTATTGCACAAATTATGCATAAATTAGGATGAATTATAGTCCTATCATGCTGGTTCTTGAATAATTTATCTAGATTATGACTGACCTAAGTCCCTTATCTTATGTTATGAACTAGTGGTTGATTGTGATGTAGTGATTCAATTGGCTTTGTTGTCATGTTGGTTATTTATGTGTGATGAGGTTAAACCCTTATTGGGTTGAGTTAAGGGTTGATGGTAAGACCTTGATGATGTATTATGAAGAATACTTGGCAAGTCTTCTGATCTCACCTCTTTATTTCAATTGTGGTTAATTGTGATTAAGTGATGATGTTGCATAAATTATACCTTGTATTAAGATTGATAGGGCTTGTATGATGTTGTATTGAAATGTCTCTCTCTATGGATTTTGAGTTGGCTAAAGTTTAAATATTATAAGGATGGTTATAACTTACCAATGTGCCTTATACTGATGTGAATATGTAAATGTGCTAACCTCATTTATATGAATTGTAATGAAAGGACTATACTCATGCAAATCTTATTGATCTATGATGATGATGATTATACATGGTATAGAACTTATGACCTACATTAAGCAATGATAATTAATAAATATATTAAAGACATTTCGAAAGGGACTTAGCTTAGCACCGAGTGAACTTGAAAAGGTGAGGTGTTGACTTTCCATAGAGGAAGATTTACTGAATAGTTCCACATGAGGTGTTGACTCCCATATGAGGGATACTCATCTTATGGATTCCCATGAGATGAGGCTCCAATTTCCATGTTTCATGTAGAGAGTTCACACCTATCTCTTAGTTCTTGAACTATGTTTCGCCCCATAGGAAGACTAGCAAGTGGATCCACCTAGAAAGCTACGTTTATGTTTGGTTTTACTTTGTTGAGTAGGCCACCTTCAATCGGTATAAGGTTTTACAGCACCGGATTCAACATTTAGATCTTGTAGTCGATGTCGGTTAAGGAAAGTGTTCCCTAAACTAAAATGAAGTAATGAACTACAAACAAACTAGGTGACTTTAGAGGTTTAACTTAGCCTAGGTAGGGGTATGACACTTTATGTATCCCTTGCACTAGTTTTCCTTGAACGAAGCCTTAGGATGTTTTTCTTATGTATGTATATGCTTATAAATGTAAATGATATGCATATGATGATTTTACATGTTAATTACACTATGTGATGTTGGTTAATCTTATGAACATGTGTTTGGTCTCTGTTGCTAATGTATGATGATATATACTCTTAATGATATACTATGTGAAGTTTAACATTAGTTATGAGCTTTTGAGCTTACTTGATAGAGTAAGGTTATGGGGCTTTGCTTGGTCCTTGCACTAGTTAACTTAATTAGGGTTCATGGGTAATTAATTTCCTTTGGTTATGTTGTAATGAACTCTTATTCATGCTTGTGATGTTATATCTAGATAATAGGGTTGTCATGACTATGTGTTCAAATTAAGTTGATATGCATGTTGGCTTTAATAGGCATAGTATTATTGGTCATGTCATGTGCATACTCCTGACTTAATGAATATGTCCTATTGATTGGTATGATTTCTTGAAATCTGCATAAGGCTTTTCAAAGTAACTTGTATAATTTATTGAAGTGTCCCGTTTTAGCATGATTTTATGATATGTGTGCATATGGTCCTCATACTTCGTACAAGTGGTATACTAACCCCATTTCTGCCTTTTTCCCTAACATTTTAGGTTTCGGTCATGAAAAGGCTTTTTAGACAACTTTGAAGGAAGCCTTAGAATTTTTATTCATCCATGTTGGGTAGGTCTTCACTTTCCGAGGGCAATGCCACTATCAAGCTTATGATGTTGTTCTAGTTTTAAGACTTCTATTTTCTTTCTTTTTTATCTGAGTATGGCTCTTACTGTCTTGATGTATGGGCCAGGCAAAAATTGTTATACTCTTGTTGGATGGTTATCAGATGAGACATCCATTTGATACTATGTTCTATCTTATATATCTATGTGCAATAAAAGTAGAATACTAAGTAATCTTATTATACGAAGGGTCTGTGTTTACTCGAAAGAAGTACTATGTTTGTGTAGACATCTATTTAAACCTCAACGTAAAAGTAGTGAATAAGTTTTTAAAACTTCCGCATTTTTAACCTATGACTTTATTGATGTAAGATAAGAGGCTAGTCTTAGTCCTCAAAGAGGACAACGACACCGGTTACATCTATGGGGTGCTCCTAAGCAGTGACAGGCACTTCATGTTAGGGTCTATTTGAATCTATTTCATTTTTGGGTCCTTATAAATATCTATTTCCCGTTCCGGAGGAATTCAGGGTAAATCATCGGGGAAGACTTTCTGAAAATTCTTCGTTAGGGGCACCGACTCTTAAGGAGGAGCCTCAAACTCAAGGTCATTTACCCTAAAAATATGATAGATAAATCAATTACAAAATCATCTTACAAGCATTTAGACATGAAATAATTTTACCTTTAGGGATTTAGCTTCCCCCAATCCATTATAAAATGGGTTCGTTAGGAAATAGTAATTTAACTACCCTTGTTCTAGTATCCATTGAAGCAAAACAAACATGTAACAAATTTATCCCCAATATGACATAAAAGTCCAAAATGTCACATTCTACCAAGTCAACAAAGATAAGTCTATTGGACAATAATATGGGACTACTCCTATAGACTCTTTTAGTAACAAGAGGGTAACCCACCGGGGTAGAAACCGAAAAAAGGTTCAACTAAGATATCGGAAAGCACGTCAAACATCATAGACACTAGAGGAGTTACAAATTTTAAAGTGGCAGCTGAATCTAGCAAATCATAAAAATTATTTTTAAATGCTTACACTATACCGGTAACAACCTCGAGAGAATCCTCTTGACCACCCCTAGTTTTTAGAGCATAGAAGTGTTTTTTCTTTAGAGCATCAGAATTAAAACGACTTGATTTAGCTTGATTACTGTTCATTCATTGATTTTTGGACATGGTACAATCCCTTAACATGTGATCACTCTTTCCACAGCAAAAACAATTGTCCGTACCAACTGGACATTTACTCACATGGTTCTTACCACATTTTGCACAATTGGATTTCTCACTTTGTGAACCACCACATTTTCCCCCTTGAGGCTTAGTGTTTGACACCCTATCCTTGTTAGCGTTTGAGAAATTATAAGGAACTTTGTTGGAGAATCATTTCTTGAACTTTGGTTTGTCTTGGATATTAAACTTACTCTTAGAAGTACCTTCATAATTGGGCCTTGCACTCTGGGAATCCCTATTTTTCCTCTTAATCCTACTCTCCTCAACTTATTGAGCATGAACCATCAACCAAGATAAATCCATGTCATTGTGAATCATTGCCACATAATACTCTTCCACAAGATCATCAGAAACTCCCGTTACGAAGCGACTCGTTTTATCCCTTGGATTATTCACAAAAGAAGAGGAATATTTAGACAAATTAATGAATTTCAAAGAGTATTCTTGAATATTCATTCTTCCTTGACGAAGGTTGATGAAATCTTCCACTTATGTCGCTCTTTCATCCCTTGGGAAGAACCTATCAAGTAAAGCCCTCCTAAAGGCTTCCCAACTTATGGGACCCTCTCTCAAAGTCTTATTGTCCTTCAATTGAGTTTACCAAGTTTGAGCCTTATCCTTGAGTTGATAAGCGACTAGCTCGGCTTTCTCATTTAAGCTCACCCCCATAGCATACAAGATTTTATAAACCTCATCTAGAAATTCTGGAGGATATTCATTTACCTTGGCCCAATGAACATTGGATGGTTTATCCTAGTGAAGTCCCTCAAACGTGAAGCCATGGTAATAAAATTTTGATTCACATAGGGGAAACATCATGATTTGCTTGGGTCATCATAGCTTGTGCTTGACTAGTTAAGACTTGAGCTTGATTATCCATGAATTTGGTCAAGATTAGGAAACTCGCACTTATTTCCCCATCCGACCTGATCGGCGGATTAACCATAGATTTTTTACATAGAGGAAATTGCTCTTGAGAAGGAGCTTGGTTGTCTTGGGGAGGAACTCCCCCATTTTCAATCTCCTTTTCTACCCTTCTTGCGGCTTCCTTTCTAGTAGTCATAGCCTATATCTACAGGGAAAGGATCAGAAGAAAGGGATATATGGAGTTGAGAATCTTGAGGCACGACTAAAGATTACCAAAGAAGTGAGAATTTTCTATGTATTACATAGTCTCTCATTCATACGAGTGACACACTTCACAATTAAGAATAAGAGTCTACATAGACGTGGTTCTGTGAGATATCATTCCTAATATTATTCAACCTCACGATCTAATACTTAATTTTTCACGATAGGAGAGAACATCCTAGTCGTAACCAGCATCTTCGTCCTTGAAGAGGCCTTAGACAAGCCCTTAGCATTCATCATTGCATCATATATAGAATAAAAAGCGGGAAATTGAAAATTTTTATTTGAAATTCAACTTCACTTCACATTTATCGAAAATAAAATCTAACTTGTCTCACATTGCCATCTAAACACAAGAGTATGAGAATTGGGAATTAGGCGTTACATCAACAAAAAGTCTTATAATATGAATTAAAATATAATCTTTGAGTAAGGAATGTGAAACTAGAAAGAGAATCAAGCATCTCCATCCTCCGACTTGAGGACTTACAAACTTAGGAATAACAATCCAAGTTTCTTCAAGAAAAGACAAGAATGACCTCAATGGCATGAACCTACACTTTGTATAGAAAATAGAAGAGATATGGGTTAGTACAAACCATATGTACTACGTATGGGAAAATATGCAAGTAAAACATTTGAAACCATGCACAAAGGGAAATTTTGTTATAAACATCCTAAGTTCACTTTGAATCCTTTATGCACATTTCAAGAACATATACAAGTCCATATCACCACAACAATGACATATTCTTATTCATGTTCAAGAGTAACATCATAACAAAGATATAGTTAACATTTCATATTTAGAGTCCATAGTCATCAATACATCACAAAACCTTATCATAACCCCAATCCAAGTCTACTAGTGCAATGTGTATGTGAAGCCCCATAACCTCACATAAACCAAGTAAACTTACAAAGAGAACGTAATCATTGTGTTTTACCTCATACATCATCATAACAAGCATAGTCAATATCATGTATAAAAATTTAGACCAACATCATGTATCTCTAATGAAACCAAAATCACACATATCATGCATAACAATTTAATCCAACAACATGAGTTCCATTCATAATATATGTAGATAACTAAATCACCCTAGAATTCCCCTCAAGGTCCACTTGTGTAATGTATAAGTAAAGTCACATACCTTTACCTACACTAGGTAACACCTCTTAAGTAGTCATAGTTATTGCTCATCTTATTACTTTAATTCATTCATTTTAAGTTTTAGGAAACATCTCGATAACTGACATAGACAATGTGTGCTAACATGGAATTCAGTGTCATCCCCTCACACCGAAAGAAGGATGTTTAACTAGCCATGGTAAGACATATACATTCATATAGCATCTAGGTAGATCCACTAGCTATGGTTGCTATGAGGGCACATAGTTAAAGAACTAGGAGGTTGTTAGTGGAAACCTACCATATGCTAAATAGCATTATAGTTTCCACCTCATCACAGAACATAGTGTGTACCTGCCTTCCTTTGTGAAGAAATACCTCTCAATGTCAAGTTCACTCGGTTCTTTGCTAAATTTTCTTTTTGAAATATCTTTCAGTATTTCTTAACATTAATTAATAAAATAGGTCTTAGGAGTTGAAACCCTCATATAACATGTTCATAGCTTATAGGTTTAAGATGCGAAAACCCTTTCATCACTAACCCGACATCATGTAAGGACATAAAACCATAGCCTAGTCATAAGATTTTCATGGGAATTACCTTCAATCCATCATATTAGCACACCTACCATCGTATCACTACCATCATATTCATAAAATGATCAGGCATTCATAACTTCCTCATTCATATTTCAATTAATCAACATTAACAAGGATAGACTAACAATAATGAAATCGAATGATCGTGACCTTGAAGATCTTACCAATAGACTCCAAGAAACCCATTCAAGACTTAATCCAAAATCAATGGTATCTAGCAATCAAATCAATTATCATCATCATATAATAGTCCATTAATCAATATAATTCAGGAGTAAGGGTTAAGAGAAGTGGAACAATTATGGATTCTAAAAAGAATTAGGTAAAAATTTAAATAATAAATCATATTAGGTAATTCATGGAGTAATAAAAAAATTATAACTAATATAAGAATTAATATATTCATTATCATTGACCAATTCACCAAACAGATCCAAGATTTATCAAATTGGGGAAGAACATGGGTCCAAAGGAATATCAAGTGAACAACACCAATTACCCATCATTATACACTTAAAAAACCCTAAGTAATCATAATTTATTATAATTTAACCATAATTTCTTATATTCCATCCTTTTTTCTCCTTTTCGAGCCTATCCAAAAGAGATTCTAGTACTTCTTGGTCGTGAACATCTGAACTGGTTAATTGTTGTTCAATAATTCTTGTTTAGGAAGTTCATAAAAAATGACCCCTGTGTAAATAAAAACCCTTGATTTCGGGGGATTATGAAAACATCTTTGAAGGAACCTCTTGGGGGAAAGAAATTTCAAGAGGGAAAGAATAAATACCTTAATGAAGACTTAGCCACGAAATTGAGTATAAAACCTGGAGAATTGATATTCTTCTTGATGCTTTAATGTTCTTGTATGGAGGTTTGGGTAGAGAGGATTTATACAGAAGTGGGAGCAATTGAGTTTTCAATTTGGGGATTTGTTTTAGATTGGTAAAGTGAGTAAAAGTGTCTTAAAATAATTATATACCCATCCCCCAAAAATCCAAAGCACCCCTCACTTAGTTGGAAGTTTTAATTAAGTTAAACATGACTTTTATTTATGGAATTTTTGTCGCAGAATAAGTCCACACCGCGGAGGTGTTCCCTCAAGTATTTGCAAATAATGTTTTAGAAAAAAGAGTCTGCGATAATTTCTGCGACGCGAAAAAACATTTGGTTTTTGGTGGATCTAGTCTTTGACGCGGACATGCTCCCTTCGTTCCTTGGGCAACTTGTTGGACAAATGTTTGGGTCCTCCTCAAGGACCCCTAGGAGTTTCCTTCAAGGGTCGCACCTGGACGTTTTGATCCTAAAAATTTTATTTTACCTATTTAATGTACTTCTAGATTATTTACCCTTCATACGCTACTCCCAATCTTTCACATGACCTAAGAAAACCTACTAGTCAATTTCACTAGTTTTTGAGCGTCATGGTCATTTCTTAACGTTTATGATCTAATACTTCCAAATCAAATTAATAACATTAGTTAAGGTATGGAAACACAATTCATAATCATTATTTCATTAGGTGAGGATCTAGACTACGTCATTGGATTTCCGAGGTGTAACATTTCTATTCTGGCAAGTTTTTGGAGAGTAGTTTTGAGAGGATTAAAGGAAATATTCTTCTTATTACTTCTAAGTTTGAGAAGATATTTCCATGTGAATTCTTTGATGTGATGGAAAACGTTCCAATTCGCCTTTTACAAGAGGCCTGCCTCAGAGCTCGTGTTCAAAGAAGACGGATGTATCCATTTAAGAGGTGTACATTTGAAATATTCACAAACTTATATAGATCCACCAATCCTTTTATTAACATATATATGCACACATACATGCAGAAAAATTGGTAATTCCATGCAAACAATTAAGCAAAGGGGAAAGATCGAAGGATCCGTTGCTCAAGCTCATATTGGGAGAGAAAGTGTTGAGTTTTATTTTCATTATTTAGGTAATATTGGGAGAAAAGATAGAGATTTTTTTATATTACTTAGGTGACGATGTGTCATGCATGAGAAACAGGCCCAATCGGAATGATAAAGGCGATATTGATTCTCTATTTCAACCAATATCAATTTTTAATTAAAATGGTCGAGGATCTAAAAAGTGTGAAAACTGACTCTTCACTGATAGAGAAATGCAATCAGCTGTGACATACATTTTGCTTACCTGTCCAGAGATTCAACCATATATCAAGTATTAAATGAACAACTATTCGTAAACACATGGGGTAATGAAGTCACCTATACATAATTTTCCAAATAGGTAAAAACTTATGTAAGTGTGCAACCACTAAGTATTTTATAATATATCAATGTTATACTAAATTATATTACTTGAAATAACAGTCATATAGGTTTACAATGAATACTCAAGTGTCTAACATTTGCAATTAGTGAAAGAAGTAGAACTTGGACCTGAATCTCAAGTACTGACAATGAGTAAGTATTGTGTCAATGGTTTTAAGTTTGAAGAAGTTTCTACGAACAAGAAAAAAATAATAGTGGTGTCCACATACAAGGTGATGTTGATGGTACTGGCCAAACTATTGAATATGATGGTGTCACTCTATATATTATTGAACTGGGGTATTCAAGTTGACCTATAAAAAAGATTGTATTGTTTCGGTGTGAGTGGTTTGACCCATCATGTAAAGGCACAAAGGTGAACCATCAAGATAATATAATTGAAGTTAAGCACACCAGAAAATACAGAAGTTATAATCCTTTTATTATTACGCAAAATGTTAAACAAGTGTATTATGTTGCATATCCATTGTGTAGATTCAAAGTTCATTGTTGTATGTTATAAAAAGTAAGTATGTGGAAATAATTGAAATAAACAGTGTATTAGATGTGGTGTATATAAATGATGTTGCAATAGTTCATCAACAAACTCATATTGAATTGGAAATCAGACAACAACATCCTTAACGCTTAGTAGAAGTATATGATATGAGATACTTAATGTTGAGGAAGAATGATCCAAAAATGAGGAAAAGGAATCAATAGATGAGGAAGAATGGGACCGTAATGAAAATGAAACTATTGAGAAAGATGAATGGGAGAATAATAGAAGTTAAACAAGCGAGGAGGAATAGTAGTAGAATGAAAGATAGTATATGTAAGTTAATTTATTTTGCTAAATTTATTTAATTTATGATTTTTATATAATATACATGTAAATTTGCATACAGATGTCATCAATCGGTGAAAATGACAAACATCGCGAGCATCTTGGAGTTAGCCGGACTAATAAAGCTAACAGAAGAAGTCTAGTAGACCCATAGATCCTGAGGATATTCCATGATCTATTTCTTCTATGCCTGAACGCTTTAGTCATGATACTTATTTATTTTCTATTTCATTTGGTACAGAGGATCCTCGGCAATATTTTCTAATTACTATCGATCATTTGATGCTTCCATTACTTCAAAGACATTGCCTCCACGGTGCTACGAAGGCCTACCTTTATAGGTTATTCATTGATCACGACCCTTATCGGCAAGTAGGATATAGGATAATACTCTATCTCCCACATATACATATCCTAAGTTATGTTGATGAGGATTGGATATTCTAGTAGTAAGAAGTCAGATGCTAAGGTTCATACACCTTTATTGACTTAGTGTTTTGTGTATCCTAGTGTATTATATTCATCTACAGCTGCACATAGTGAAATTTAGTTATATTTTTCTTTTTATACTGTAAATCTAAGTAACGCTATTCAATTTTTTCAGACTATATGTACTTAGTACTCAAGGTACAATTTTGTCAATGCGACCACATTTGAGAAGAGGGCATCCGCGAGACTTTTGAGCTAAAATTCATGATACTGATGAACTTACTGGATGGATTTTGCCTCATGTTTTTGATGATTTTGTGCGCATTGGAATTGACAAAATTATAAGGCAATTTCTGAACAAGCCACAAAAATTTAGAGGAAGTCTTAGGGGTGACTCGTTGCAAACTGGAAGTGCAATGAAATTTGGATTAATTAAAAGAGAGATGGTGAGTTCTACTTAAAAATTTTAAATTAGTTGATTCATTGATACCATTATAAATTTCACTTCTTTCTTTAGGAAAAAGTATTGGGAACACTCACATTGAACCAGAGGTTTTCAACAAGAATCGTGTGAATAAGAAATAAAATGAATTGGATCGGTATGTGCGGCTCAAAGAAAGGCCGAACAAACTTTTGTAAGTTACTTAATATGAATAACATATATTAGTAGTGATGTCAATTTTTATATTTAATATGCCGAATGAGTTTCATCGTTATGTCACTAAGAAGTTGCATAGTTCAGTTCAAATGATATCTGAACTTTCCACCAAATTTTGACGGAAAAAGTGGTGTAGGTGACACACAAGGGTAGAGTCTATGGTAGAGGCTATCGAAATGACGTAAAAAGATACCAGTCATGATTAGAAGGTATTGGATCGTCACGTCAAGCAGAGACACTTGACGGTGTTTATATTAACGTTATGTCGGCTCAAATAGCACAACTTACATTGGTACTAGGAGAGTCGGAGAAGACAAGAGTAGTTGAACAAAAAAGCATGAGTGATACTGTTCAAGACATCAAAGAAAAAGTGTTGAACCTCGCACGTTGACTTACTACTTCATCTCCAAAGGACACCGATGACAATGAGGAGGAAGATGATTTTGTAGATGCCACTCCCTAGTTTAGGTCGCTTTTGAAATACATTTTGAAACACTTAATAAGTTTTTGTAATGTGATTTGTTTCATTTTGAAGATTGATTTATGTTTGATGTTGTATATGGTTGTGTGTTTACATTATATTGTTTCATTGGTTATTTGAATATGAATTAAATTGAATTGATTGATTTATATTTGTTTGTCGTTTTTTTGCATTATTTTTTCAAATAAACCATGAAAAGCAATAGACAGGGTCCTTAAACCCGTCATTTTTATGTATCTTTTAAAAAATAAAATTCAAAAAAGCAAAGGATGGTATTCTTTAGCCCATCTTTTTTTTAGAATTTTTAAAATATTAATTTCTAGAAGAGCGATGGACCACGTCGCTTATTGGAAATAAAAAATAAATGAAAATATAAAACAAGCAACACAATCCGTTGATTTTGCTAAAAACATTTTGAAAATAAATTATAAAAAAGTGACGCAATTCATTGTTTTTTTAGAGACATTGTCCCTCGCGTTTCGAAAAGTGTCAAACCATAAAGCGATGAATATGACTGCACCACTTTTCCGTTGATTTTAAGAAAAACGCGATGTTGTATGTCGCTTATGTGATCGTTTTTTTGATGTTTTTTAGTAGTGTAGGATTGAGAAACCAACCTTTGTCTATTAAAACTATTCCCGAAAAAGTTAGTGTGACGTCATGGGTAGTCATCACTAAAATAATACAAAAGAATGGTAACCTTGGAACAAACATGTTCTCTTAGTTTGACTCAAAATAAAAATAAATAGGATTAATTGTGTAGCAATACTGTGATGCAAGTTGTATGATCATTCTAGTTAATATATCCTCATATGTGTCATGAATCCATGTGTGGTGAGTGTTGTTGGCTCTTGCTTCAATTGGTATCTAAAACCTGTCTTGTGTGTATCCGATCATTAGATTGTATGACATAGGGAATGTAATTAAGGCGTTTCTTTGAAAATTCAATTCTTCAACTCTACTTGTAGGCCTACTATTGAAATGACCCCTAGTGAAGCATCATTGAGCCTTTAGCCTTATTTGTTGATAAGACACATGATAAGCCGAAACCCATTTGTCTCATACCAAGGTATTTTGATACTAATATAATCAATATAATGCACTATGTTAATAAGAAGAATTGAAAATTATTGGTTGATATGAGAAAGGGTGAAATGCTGAATTTTATGGAAAAGAAAAGAATAAGTGAAACTCTATATTGTCCCTAGTCCTTCGTGACATTGTGCACCTCAACACAATTGAGGGTGGAT